GCATGAACGGGGGAGGGGCAGAGAGAGAGGGAGACACAGAATCGGAAACAGGCTCCAGGCTCTGAGCCATCAGCCCAGAGCCCGACGCGGGGCTCGAACTCACGGACCGCGAGATCGTGACCTGGTTGAAGTCGGACGCTTAACCGACTGCGCCACCCAGGCGCCCCTCATTCAAAATTCTTTAAACTATTAGATAATTCTTTTCTTGCAAACCTCAGGCAAAGTTCAAGTTGGAAATATAATTATATTTCAAGTATGTGATATAGCATATATTTAACAAATAAATGGATGGGAAAGAGTAATTAATTAGATAATTGAGGTCTAAGCCATATACTGTAATTGCTGGTCAATTGAGGCCAAAGAGTTATATTGGGCTTCAATAATCAAAGATGATTTCTTCAGTCGTTCATTTCATTATAAAATTTTAGTTCTAAATACTTAATCTGTTTTTTTTTTTCTTAATGATTCAATTTTTTTGACAGCAATTTTGGGTTACAGCAGAGTCAATACTGGTTCAGATTTCAGGATTGCTCTGTTTTTAACATGTGTTTTCATGGAACCATTTAGTGCTATATCTTTAAGTTTTGATACCAAGAAGAAAGTCCTGAATGTCCTGTGTATTACTTTTTATAACAACAATAATAATATTTTTGGTAAATTTTTAGGAAGAAGAAAATGTCAGGGGATTATATGAAAAATTTATTTTTAGTCTTCTTATTTTTATGGTTCAGGGCCAAACTGAAGCAAATCCTATACATGAAAAATCTTGAGTATACATTTGTTATATCTACTGATACCATAGAGAGTTTATGTTCTATGAATTAAATAATATGTTGCATTTGAATAATACCTACTAAAATGAAATCTTAATCACAGTTTATATTTCCATTTTTCTTCAAATAAGCTTACTTATTAAAAAAATAGTATTTATAAATTAGCTAGCAAAAGAGCTGAATTAGAAACCACTCTACTTAATATTCTACCAACACATTAAAAACACACACTTCCTGTGTTCACCCTTGCAAATTTATCCACCTCTCTGTACATACCAAATAACACTTATTAGCAACCTGGAAAAAGCTAAATTAACAAACTGTCCTTGGAATTACCAATATAATTTTTAACACATTAAAATGCCTGATAATTCTAATTACATCTGACATAAAAACTATTAAGAAAGAGAATCCTGTTATGTTAATGTTAGATCAGCTATTCCAGCTTCCTCTGAGTAAACATGTAAAAATGGTTAAACAATAAATTTCTATGGCAACAACTTAAATTCTAGGATATTCTTAGTTACAGCAGCAACCACAGAAGCTACTACTTTCTTTAAAGCAATGGAACTAAACAACATACCTCCTTTTTTCCTCCTTTTCCATCTGGCATAACTAAAATCTCTTACTTTGATGAATTAAATATGATTTAACTGGAAACAAGATATCTAAACTAATTCACATGGCAGCTAGTTATGTGAACATTTTACATAAAGGCAACAACAATAAGGTAGGCACTTGTAAATGAAAGTTATGTGCTAAGACCATATGTATTATGTATCCTGAAAACTAAACTAATACATAATATATATTACCTTAAACCAAAACGAACATATATGGTTATATATTAGCTTATATATATAATTGCAATAGAGATACTTTATCAAAATAAAAAATTCTCTAAATAATGAATGTTCTTTTACATTAAATCATTGAATACCTTTTCTACATGGATTTTTAACATATATTAGTGTTTATTAAAATATTTGATAATTCTAATATTTTTAGAACCAATAAATAGAAAATTTAATGATTTTAATTTGTATAATTGATAAATGCCTATAGCAATTCATCTTTTTTCTTTTATGTTGCCTTCTTATACATTCTTGGAGAACACACTAAAGTTATCTCCTCTAAATGTAGGGCAATTTTCTTTTGCTGCAAGGCATATTGGAAATATAAAGAGCTACCTATACATACTCAATTAAGAAGATACAACTTGGGTTTTTGACTTGTTATAACGTATTTCTACAGCTCTGTGTATTTTTTAAGGATACCCTTCTTTAAGAGTTTTCCTGCTAAATATATATGACCATTCTATTCAAACAACGAGGTTTGGTAGGGCAAAGAAAATTGAGTTTAAATACCACTTCAGTATCTACCAGTTATGATCTGAGTTATCGCTTACTCTCCTCAATTTTCTAATCAGTATAATGGAAATAGCAATATTGTGATACATTATCACAATATTTGTCAAATGTATTTGTGAGGGTTAAATTAAATAATTAAACTATTTAGCACATGGCTGGCTCACTCAAAGATGTTAAAGCAGTATTTAAAAACTAAGTTTACTCTTTAAACTTTGGCCTCTATATCGTAATTTATTTTTAATTAGTATGAACAACAGTTCTTGCCCCAGTGAAGACCTTCTAGGAGAAGTTCTAGTTTCCTGACTTAGACAAATCATGTATTAGTTTTAAACATTACTATCATGCTTCACTAGGTATCTTTTAATATCACTTCCCACCAGAGATGTAGAATATCTACATTTAAGGTCATAATATTGCTGAGTATACGACTCTTCCCCTCCTCTCCAACTTTTCCATTACAAATAAATCTATTGATTGCTTACAGGGAACCCAGTTGTACTCTCCAAAAAAAGAATTCAGTCCTTCATAAGAAAAAAATAAATAAATAAACAGCCCATAATATTTGTCAGAGGATAGTAGGTTACAATTTCATCACTATGAAATGCAGTCCACAAACAAAAGAATCAAGAGAGAAAATGATGAATGGCCTTAGGTATAGTCATAGTTTATAATAAAGATTTTATTTAAAAACTGTTAAAATAAATAATACATACTCTAGAACATCACTCTTCTGGGAAATTACTTCTCTTTAGAATATGAGCTCTAGAAGGCAAATCTTACTACTACTGCTCTGGGAGTTTTCATTAGCTGATTTACAATCATATATATATAATCATATATATATATATATA